GCGTAGTGTATCTAGTCTTTCCCTGACTATTGTTGTCGTTGATCGCATAGTTATCCAAACCGAAATGTGCAAGAAAAATTGCAGTAATTATGGTCAAGGTCAAAATTTCCTCCTGAAAAAAAGCTACGCTCGCGCATATTTCACGAATTTTTCAGGGGTTTTACAAAGATGGTTTCAAAACGAAATAAAGAAATTTCGAGACACAAATTTAATATTTAATCAATACTTGGTAAGTATAATAGGCTTTTTTCCGAAAACATAAATAGTTCGCTCCACATGCGGAATTATTACGAATACAATGATTCAATAAAAACGGAATTGTATTTGAAGAGAATGAAAAATTGGCAAAAATTACGACAAACGGAAACGGAATGCCTAAGCTCGTGTGAAAAAAAAAATTTGTTCTCTAAGGGAGCAGTTTTGGAAATATTCTTTTACTCCGCAAAAATGATTCTGATGTTCCTCGTGTGAATGTTTTGATACTATTTTTCAAGGAAGATGATTGCACTTCAAACGAATGGGGAAAGCCAGGTATTTAATGCTCCTGATGTTTGTTCTCCAATTTTTTCTTTCTTTTTCGAATAGTGTACGGCGCTGATTTGACATTTGACTCATTTTTTTTTCAAGTCTACATATTGTACATGCAAGGTATATGCCATGAGAGATGGCAAACAGTGCCAAGCTATAAATTATTTTTCTTGTTACCATCAGATTTATCTTGAAGATGCCATAGGACGTGCTTTTTGAATTCCAATTAAACTATAGCCGTTTTTAATTTTTTTTTCCTTTACAATAGGGGAAATTATTGCACGAGGGGTAATAGAAGAGGACGCATTGGAAAGCGCTGTAGGAACGAAAGCTAATGGATGCAGGAAACCGAAGTCAACCGAAGAATCGTCATACCTTGACTATGTCTGTGTTTGCAGAACAGACAAATGCAATGCAAACGGAAGTGAGCTGAAACAAATCAGTGCTATGGCCACGACATTCGCCTTCATTTCCGCGATGACCACGCAGTTCTTGTTTGCGCATTAAACACGAATTTTTACAGCTCCGAGGTTGAAAGAAATCACTTGTATCAAATTTTGCATCCCTTATTATTCTGCATCAAAGAAAGCGAAAAAGCCACCCAAGACGAGAAATTCTTGACCCTTGATTAGTTTCAGCGTTTTTTTTTTTTTCTCTCGGAAATTTAGCCATGTTCCAGACTTCTTCTAGCAATTTTGTCCCCATCAGTGATTTTGTTGTTGCTGCCTGTGAAAAGGTATTTGGGACATTAGAAGCATTTTAATTTTTACCGATAACATGCTGCCTAGCAACTCACTCGCTCAATGCGCATAGAGCAATAATATGCCTCATAAATTGCCTTCATCGGGTCCTCAAAGATAAAAACTGCAGTAAAAGTTGCACGACGCTCTAGTTTATCATTCACAAAGTTCTTATCTACGCTGAAGTCAGGGAATGTATGCAAAGGCACATATTTACGAATAATAATCTACGACGCGAAGAATTATACGAAAGTTGGGTCTCACGCCAGGAAAACTTTATTAAAATCGCACGTTAAGCAAATGATATACAGTACAGGGCTTTTGGAATCAATGCCAAACTTCAGCTTATAGGATCAAGATTCTAGCTTAGGAGCTTTTAATAATACCGACTCTGCGATGAAACGGAAGTTCAAGTGAATAAAAAAACAGGGTTGCTCGGTGTATCCTCGACTGCTCATTTTTGCATATGCACCAACATCGTAATTTCCTCGTTTGAATGGAAAAATATTATGTGGCGAAACTATGAAATTAGAGCTACCAGAGTTGACAATCTTTCACAATCTCCCGGAAGGACCCCGTGAAACCAAATGTCTCAAAAGTCCACCGAAACTTGTTCAATTGCTATTTTTGAATCGTTCCTTGTTTTCAATAAGCGATATTGAAGGTTCACAATACAGTTAATAATTTCAAGCTTGAAAAAGAAAAAAATATCCAAAATTATCATTCGTGGAAGGGCTTTATTTCCGGATCTAGAAACCAGAAAAACGCGTAAAATCCTTTTGGAAAATATGGATAACAAATATTGAATATTAATGATGCATTCCAAATAATGTTTTTCAACTCGTGAGGCACTTTGTAATAACTGTGCACGTCGAAAAAGCGTCCATCGTTTCGAATGAAATTAGTCGATCATCTGTCTTCTTGAAAAATTATATCGTAACGAAGAAAAAAATATGAGAGCCTGGAAAGTGTGGAAAACCTAACCTATAACATTACTGTACAGTACAGTGTACAGTTATTCGCTCTCTACAACGATTTTATCTGCATCAAAATATGATTTTGGTTTCACAGAGGTCTCTATACGCATGTTTTAGAGGTTCTCTACAACAAAAATTCTTTCTACAACTAATTTTCTTCTGGTCTCCTGAATTTATTTGCAAAGAGAGAGAGAGAGAGAGAGAGAGTCCACCTGTATTATGTCCTAACATGGGGAAGGAAATTCATTTATTTTTTAACCACGCGCGGGAATCAAAGAAGGAAGACCTCGTCAAAAATGAATGTAACCGACGACGTTTCGTTTCCCAACAAAACTCACGACTATAAATAAAATAATAAGTAACGAAAAAAAAACGAAGGCAAGGAATACGAGTAGCCAGTCTTATTCACTCACCTGCATCAACAGCAGGCCGACGATGAAAGCGGAACCCTGGCAATAACCAACTTCCCGGTCGTGCAGCGAATACGCCTTCATCACGTTGAACAAGGACTCCTGGCCGAACCCGTCCTTTTCCTTGAAGTAATCGTGCTCCGGGTACGTGCGTGCAATATCACGACGGATCACCTAATGAGGATACAGTCCAGTCAGTGATAGACACTACTACACAGTCATCAGCAGCCAGCACGGGAAGACCGACACGAGCCGCCTCGTAGTGAATTAACCGCCTTTCTCGGCGGGGAAGAAAAAAAAATCCCCCAAAGAAAAAGAACACACAAAATGAGCAAAGGGCGCACGAAATTAAGCCTCCGAGATACGCCACCTGATTATTCAGCGCGTGGTTATTCCACCGGAAACACTTTTTTTTACCATAATGCGAAGACTGCATTTTGTTTTTAAAAAAAAGAAAAGAAAGAAATGAATATCGTTCCTTTCCGCAAAAAGCTTTACGAAATCCACCTACGCCCGTTTTTTTTTTTTTTTTTTTTTTTTTTTTTTTTTTT